TTTGTGATCTTCTCGAGTAAGGAAGGATGTTCATATGGATTTTCTTGACTCAGGTTAAAATTTGTGAGACACGAGACTTAATGGGAACTTGGTATTTCTTTTGGGTATTAATAGGATTAAAGGTGTTCAGTGCTTTATGCATAACTCGTTGTATCTTAAGAATAAAGGATCCCATACAGTTCTTAATATAGTTTCTGTGACTGATGGCAGTGTGCAAATTCATTAGAATGCATTGGCATGGGAGTTCCTCTGAAATCTGACACAGAAAAATAAATAGCTAAGAGTTGAGACTTCATGTCAAATTCCTGGTTTGAGAGAAAAGCTTTCTTCTGACTTTGACACCTTCAGGTCTTCATTCCTATTTGTGTGTTAAGGCTGATGGATATTTTTTGCTGTTCTTTTTTACACAGGAACTTGATTATCATTCCCTTGTTGAAATTCAGTCTTGCACCTCAGTGTTCTGAGTATAACCTGAGAAAGTGTTCTAGTCACTTAAAATTTTCCCTTGTTTAGTGTGCGTGTTTTGTTTTTTAAAAATTTAATTGGGGTTGGCTTGTGCCATCTGTCTCTCCTCTCCTCTCTGTTAATGAACAGCATGGTTTTGGAGCCACTTGGAAGAGGCATAATAACTTCAACTGACAGCATCATTCTTTCTGGTGTTGGACTTTGAACTCTTAGCTCTAATGTTTCATCATGTATATAAACAGAAAAGAATGATGAGCTATATGGAACTTTCAAAGGACTAATGTCAGAAGGTTCCCTTTTGGAGCCAGTCATACTTCTGTCTTCTGTGCATAATTTCCCTGCACACTGACTCTTGCACTAAAATAATAAACGTTTTTCCTAGACACTTCAGAATCAAATAGGGAGAGCTATTTTTGAGTAATGAAGTAACACTTCTGCTTAGCCTGAAGTTCAGTGGTTAACAGGCTTTGCTTTTAATGTAACTTTTTCATATTCTTTTCAGATGGAGATCTTATAACAATTTTTGATAGCTCAGATCTTTCCTTTGCAATTCAATGCAGTAGGATACTTAAGCTGACATTGTTTGGTAAGTATAGAAGATTGTTTGTCTTTTTTTTAATAAATTTTATTAAAATTCAGGCAGTGGAGTTCACTGGAAGATACTAAAAACTTTGTCACCTCAGAAGAATGAAATCAGTAAGTTAAAAATACTGGATTAATACATGATATCTATTTTCTTGCTTGATGTTTCATGTGACTTCTGAACTTACGGAAACTGAAATTATTTCTTTTTATAAGATTGCTTAAAGTATTTGGCATACATATATATGGTCAACGTTTTTTTTTTTTCTTAATGTTACTTTCCGTGTTATCTTCCTCACTCTAGCTGTTGTAAGGTTTTCTTCACAGGTGCATGAGAAATTTATGATGATGACTATCTTGCAGTGTGTTACTAGTACACTGCTAAAAACTAACCTTAATTGCTTAAAGTTGAATAGATTTGGCCTTTTTATAAAATAGCTCTTTATTTTCAAGCTACTATTCGTAAATTAGCACATAGTTCCAAGGAATATCAAGCAGCCTTTGAGCTTGCCACAAACAAGTGTGATACTTGTATTTTTCAAGGTATATTAATGGAAATGAGGAATCAATGCAGAAACTTACTGCAGACTTTACTCTGCAGTTCTGGTACCGTGAATTATGCTGAACTGAGATCATATTAAAGGAACAGTAAATTTTAGAATGAGTATAGAATCAGAGTAGTTTGGGTTGGAAGGGACCTTCAAAGGGCATCTAGTCCAACCCCCCTGCAATGAGCAAAGACATTTTTAACTAGATCAGGTTGCTCGGAGCCTTGTCCAACAGTTTAGTCTGTGTTGGCTAAACTTTGTCACTTTAAACTCCACAGAGGATGATGATGCTACAAGCAAGTAAAAGTTGGGAATTCTTTTTTTATAATTTTAAACTGGATGTCAAAATGTTACTGTAGTCTTAAATGTATCTAATTGCTGTTTTGCAGTGAATGGACAACCAAGACCCTTAGAATCTAATCAGGTGAAATACCTGCGTCGAGAGCTGATAGAACTTCGCAATAAAGTCAACCGTTTACTGGACTCTTTGGAACCACCAGCTGAACCAGGGCTTTCCACTAATCTGCCTGAAAGTGGTAGGCAACCTGGCAGATAATTGTTTGGGTTGATTTGGAGAGTTGTGTGCTGTTTAACAATGTGAAAAATGGAGGCTTGAATACAGGTTGTGAACATTCTTAATTGTTGCTTGATGGTTCAGTGCGGGAGAAGGATGGACTTCACAACTCTGAGAGTTATATTCCGAAGCCGTTTATTGTCTTGTCTGACTCCAATATATATCATAATTTTCGCTCACTGTGCACACACTCATGATTGGTTACAGCTTGTTACGCACATTATTGCAATTGGCTATATACAAAATATCACGCGCTGTCCATGTGCCTCTCTCACAGTCAGGATTCGCTGCTTGCAGGTGTTCCTGTTTTCCTCGCTTCTTCTTAGTTGTTTACCACAGCTCCTTCTCCTCAAGGCCGAGCCATGCAGATATCCAGCTGTTTACCAGCTTCTCAATGCCACAGCTCCTTCTCCTTAAGGTCGAGCCGTGCAGGGTGATCCCAACAGTTCAGAACTTAATTTGTAATGCTGCTTCAGTTATTTCAGAGGCAGAATTTTTATTCAAATTATCTGCAGTAAAGCACTAAGTTAACGTAGGAATAAAACTTCAAAGTCTGAGTTTTTGTGCAATGTATGGAAATACTGTAACTAACACTTGTGAGTCACGACAACATTTTGAGAGGGCTCTGAGCTGAATTAATAGTTTGTTCTTGCTGAAGAGTTCTTGCTCCCAGCTTAGCACTCCCACTGCTTACTTTGGGCTAGCTCTGGTGCTTATCTTGTCATGTTGCTAAGCAAGTTTGATTCACTAAAACGGTAAAAAGCAAATTCAGCAAAAATTATATCCACTTTTTTTGCCAGGTTAGGAAATTGAATCCCCACATTTTGAGCTCAGACCAGCATCAGAGCTGACTCAGGGTAAGCAGCACAAGGGTGCAAGTAGGGGTGGGAAAGGATTATTGGTGGAGGGTAAAATGGGGAAGGAAGTCTTATTCTCCCAGTTTGGAGGAATTGATCTCCTAGCTTAGGGCTGTTTTACTGTAAGAACTATACTTCTGTGTGCTTAGCTACAGTTTTTGGGTAAGCTGGACACAGAAAAAAATGACAAAGTCATGGAGTACAGTCCTCTGAGTAAAGAGGTGAACGAAGAACTCCAGCCTTTCTTTTAGGAAATGCTGCTCTTGTATTTTACGCTTTGAAGTTTTATTGGCTTTGTTGTTTAAAAAGTCACAGCCCCTGTTTCTACAATATAAGCAATTACTAATTTCAGTGGAATGCCATGGATTCTGGCTATAAACCATGTGGAAGGAGGTAAGGGTGGTGATCTTAGTGTGTAAACAGGACTAGCCAGTCTAAACCCTATCTGCACTTTGTTTTTAAGAGAAAATGTAGCACTCTACTATGTTAGAATTTGGGGAGAAGGGGATAGAACAAAAGAAAAACTGCAGTTGATAAAACACTATATTAAACTGGAACCCATCCTACAAGTTTCCTTGATTTTGAATTCTCTGTGAGCAAGTCATACCAGCACAATTTGTTTGAAGCAGGAGCCTTGTACCTTTGTATTTAAGACAAAGTGACATGTGATACTGATACTGTGCAGTGTCAGTGTATTTTTAGGTAACTGTGCAATGAAACCTAAGCTTTGTGGTTCATCACAGTTTCAGATACATTATTGATTCATCACTGTTATCCTAACATAAGCATTTCAAAGGTCAAAACATTTTTAAAAAGCTCACAACTATGCAATTTTAAAGTTGCCGTAGTGCAATACATATGTATGATGATGTTTCAGTTCTTAAGAATTAATAACTGGGCATTTTGGTTTGTAGATGCTGTAGATGGTAGGGAAGAAAAGCCTGCTCCTGCTGACTCTAATGTGAAGCCATCTACTCAAGTTATAGCAGCAAGCATGTCTGCATTTGATCCGCTAAAGAACCAGGATGAAATCAGCAAGAATGTCATGTCAGCATTTGGCTTGACAGATGATCAGGTGTCAGGTAAGACTACATCTTACGAAGAGGAAAGCAAAACCTGTTCATAATCAGTGACTCAAATCTTGATCTGTAACAAAGCATTTGTATTTTGGATGTATTAAGCTGTGTCCTCTATTCACTGTTTCTTTTTAGAATTCTAAAACTTGGTATGTTAAGGTGGTGTAACTGTGTTTGCTATTTTGTATACAAAATGTTGAAGTGTTGCTGTTGGTTTTAGCTTGGAGTAGAAAATGGCTTAAAATTTTTTATTTTAATTATTTAAAGCTATTGTGTAGAGTAACTTAATTAGTATCTGCCAGTGACAGGAAAATGGTATTCACTGCTCTACCTTAGGGTTTGATCTTGCCCTTCATGTTCTTGGCTTGTGCTTCTGCTGTTTGGGTCAGTCAGAATGTTTTGTATGACCCTGCCTTTTCTCCTTTTCATTTCAAAAGTGAATAGTGTCAACTTTTTTACTGTTAACAGAAAGGAGTAACATACTGGTCTGAATTACATTTATTCTTGAAGAGCTGTGTGACTAGGTCCCACCTAGTAGTAGAATGCTAAATACATAAAAACTGATTATATGAAACTGAATGCGGTCAACTTAAGACAGGATAACTGAAGTTATAAAAGCAATGTGGAGCGTAATAGGGAGTGTGATGCAGAATATAGAGAAGTGATTTTGCACAGGATCTGTGTGGGCCTGGCAAGGTTTACTGTAGCATTGAAACCTGAAAATAAAACTGCTATTAGCTAACAGTATTTGCTATGTACCCTCAACTTTAGAGCAAGTAAATTTTATATGATGTGTGAAGTAATGATGCAGACAGGCAAACTGATAGCAACTGGAGCTTGTTTCTACAGAACGGCTGCCTTGGCAAAAGTGTGGAGTGATAGGAATAGATCTGCACTGTGTGATTGCAGGATCGAGAGTTGTACCCGCAGGCAGACTGGTTGTCTTCAGATAGGGGTACTGGTCTGTGGATCAGGCCTACTGAGTGATCTCTTCCTCCACAGCACATGTTGGGTATTGTCACCACCAGTAAAAGTTTGATGGTACTTGAAAACTTACAATGGGCTACCTTTGAACAATGAAGTGATAGAGTAAGAAGTATAACTGGTGGAAAACTGGAGCTAATTTTGGAAGGAATGGCTTTGTCTTTTGGTACAAAGCCTCAGTGTCAGTTAATGCTTTGATCATAGCATCAGTGATACTTCAATACTTATGTCTCCATAATTCTTCTGATAGAGTGAACTGACTTGACCATGCTTTGAATGTACAAAGAACTTAATAGAGGATTTTTAAGCAGGATATAAGAAATCCCATTTTGAAAGCTGTAGTTCTGCAGTTATGTATGTAAAGGCAAAACCAGAAGTAGGCAGATTATATTAATTTTCCCTCTAATAAGGGTAACATGAAAACACACTTAAGGGCTTGCCAGATGCATATTTATATTGTGTAAATGTTCTTAAAATCAAAAGTGAATTTGCAGCAGTTCTAATACTTGTGTTTAACTTCAAGCATATATTTGAAAGTAGTGGCTCATAGGTAGCATTCATATGGCTAAGAGCTGGAAAGGTCCAGGTTTAAGCTCCCTTGTTTCTAACAAAATACTTTGCACTTAATTGTACTGTATTGTACCTGTTCACATGCATATTTCAGAATTTCTCACCAATGTAGAGAAAATCTGAATTCTCAGTTTCCATGCTTTCTTTGGGTGCTAGGTGGAATGTTTTCAGAATTATCAAAGCAGACAATTGCTTTTAGACTGAAGCCTGCCATATCCTGTTCGAGAGCATGATTTTAACACCTTCCTTAGAGGTTTTTTGTTCACATGCTGTATGACTATTGGTAAAACACTTTGTTGCCTGGGCCTATGTGGGCCACAGTAAAACACTAGTGCATTTGAACAGTTTCACGCAGCCTTTCACCTTTGCTCAAGATGAGAAAGAATAGCTACACAGGTGCATGTTCTGTCCAAATGTAGCAAGTCTTCAGTGTACGTGTGTAAGGTTAACCCTTGAAGCTGTGGAAAAAAAACATGCTGTCATGGAGGGTTTTATCCCACAAATGGGCCAGGTTGCTTGGAAGGATGAGATTTGAGTGACCTAGAGACAGGTGGAAAATTCCCACCCCACCTCGCCCTCCACCCCCAAATATTTTCAAAGAAGAGTTTAGATGTGCAAATATATTTAATTTTAGCTTGGGCATGATGCGCTCAGATGTAAATCTATGGAAAACTGGAAAAAAACGTTAAAAACTTCGCAAGGGAATGGTCTTGTATTAGACTTTTTATTCAAACGCTCAGCTCATTTCGCATACTGCCATTCATTCTTGCTCCTCTAGGACCACCCAGTGCCCCTGCAGAAGAGCGATCGGGAACACCGGACAGCATTGCTTCCTCCTCTTCTGCAGCCCACCCCCCTGGTGTTCAGGCGCAGCAGCCATCCTACCCCGGAACACAGCCACAAACTGGTCAGGTGGAAGGTAAGCAGCATGTTTTTCTGCTATTTAAGACGTGAATGGCAGTATCTGAATCAGAGTGATCAGTAGTTGTGACTTCTAATTAGCACACTCAAAGTCGACTCCAAACTACAAATTCATCCCTGCCACTAGGCAGAACTTTTTTCCGCACGTGCTGTTCGACATAGAAAACGGCAGGTGGAGCAGTGGCTTTATTTAAAAGGGCAGGTGCTGTAACATGAGGAGGATTTTCATGGTACTGTTTTCTACTTGCATCCGTGCTCACTTTACTGTAAGGCAGACTTACATACGCTGCACTTTAAAGCTGTCTGAACATTTGTATCATACCCTGTGTGCTGTCAAGCTTTCACTCAGCCAACAGTTTATTGGCTTCTCTGCTATGAATTAAAAATGTTTACTCATCATTTCTATCTACCAAAACAGAGACATTATTGCATTGCATCTTTATTATGTATGCTCTGTGCTTGTCAGGTTAAGCCTTGTAACTTTCTCATGAACTGTAGTTTTCCCGTGTAACCCTGGAGAGCCTCAGTTGGCTCTCCTTTAAAGCTTAAGGTCTTAACTCCTGTGTTAGATTCCTTTGTACTATGCCCTTTTACATGTTATTTGACTTCTAAAAATAAAGTTATGCAGAGGTTTGCTGCATTTGGGCATCATTTTTCCACTGATATTTTCTAAGAGCACTGAGCCTTCAGACCTGCATAGTTCTGGATGAAACTGTGGAATGACTTGCTTTGGTATTTCTACCTCCATATGCAGTGCAATATCAAGTTGTTTCTGCATTAGTGTAGAAACAAGAGTCACAATCCTCTGCTGTTTTCCATGCTGACATAATGCCGAGATGTGTGAGAGGCATTATTTAGGGCCATCACAGTATCCACAGTCACCTGGAATGTCTTGCCTGAAGGGCATCAGTAGCATGTTGATTGAGCAGCTTGTAGTCAGGTATAATATTTAAGCAGGCACAAATGCTATTGGTTGCAGTGGACTTTTATAAAACACTTGTTTTGCTGCTTTCAACTTTTTTTTTTCTTTGCTTGCTTCCGTAAGAATTAGTAAAGAGACAGCAAGAGACTTCTTTGTAGCTTAAAGATAGAACTGTTTGTCATTTGTGTGTGTAAGTTACTTTGGGAAAAAAAGTGCTTCAGGTTCTTCTGTCAGCATCCAGAAAACTTCATAATATTCTCAGCTACTGAACTTGCATTTTATAAATCTAGTCTTTTTACTTGACTTTTACTTTAATACAATCAGGTATAAGGTTTTAAGTGTTGATGTTAAACTAGAACTGAAACAAGAAAGTGGAACACTTAAAAGCAAGTAGGTTGGAATCCTGAATGGCTGCTAACACCAGGGAAGGGAAGGAAAAAAGTACTTGTTTTGTCAAAACTCATCTTACTTGGGAAAGAAGTTGTCTAGGGTTATGTATCAGAGTAGATGTAATGATTTTTCTGTACTTTGGTCAAGGAAAGTATACAGGGTTGGTTGTTGGTTTTTTTTTTAAACACTGAACTGTGCTACATCTTTGCTGAAGTCCTTTTTTGCACATAAAAGTACAACAGCAGTAATTATGAAGGTTTTGGTTTGTAGCTTATGCAGTTTTTATTATTGCCACTGGAATATGTTAAGTATTTGTTACATTTTCTTCGATCTATGGATAAAATAGGATGGTTCAGTTCTTGAAGAGATCAGAAGTCATTATTGCACTTCGTTCATCAGAAATACTAGTAGGAGTGCTTATGCTGTGCATTGCATGCATATAGTAAATGGCAGTTTCTTACCAAAGCAGGGTAATATATGTGTGATTATCAACCTCTGAGACTTTTGCATTAAACCAAGTTGCTTTTATCCAAAGTCTTCAAAGATTTTCCTTTTGAAACATGGAATAGCTTTCTGTACTTCACTATTTGATAGCACCTCAGCCCAGTGGTGATTTGGGGACCCGGGCGCTCCTGTCGGGCGCTCCTGTCGGGCGCTCCTGTCGGGCGCTCCTGTCGGGCGCTCCTGTCGGGCGCTCCTGTCGGGCGCTTGAGCAGCCAAGATGAGAACCAGTGCAGGGCTGTGGCACAGCCAGAACTTTGGGTACCTTTTGATGGTTAGGTTTTCAACAGGATTGACTCACACAAGTGACGCTGCTGGTGCAGCACATGTTCTTGTTAGAAACCAGTTTTAAAACTAGTTTTAAAATACTGGTTTGCTTCTTGAAACACCAAAACACCCCCAGCTGTGCTTCCCCTCCATCTTTCGAGTATTTTGAGGATAGAAGTAAAATGGTGATGCCAATCATGTGTCAATCATTCTGGTGTATCTGGGATTATTTTTGAACATCTTTCTTTGCCAATAAATGATGGTATGATGGTCATAACTGGTCATTAGTTGTTGTTATTTGTGAATACCATGTCACCTCACCTCTATGTGCTGATACTAACGAATGGCTTGCCTCCCTTGATAAAGTTTTAAGTGTTCACTGTTTTGAATTAAATCAGTTTAACAAAGACGTGTATAGTGCTGTCTCTTGTGGCATGCCTGTGCTTTTGTACCACTGAATCCCATTGCTGAACACATACAAGAACCAATTACGTACAGATCTGGACGCTGTTTTAGTCTCTGCTGAAAATAGATGTAAAAGTTCATTCACATAAGCACTTCATGATCTTCCAGGGGAGTGAATGTTCTATGAATATACCTATCAGGTCTTTTTTTCTGAACCAAGCTAAAACGGCTGTTTCGGTGCACAGGAACAATGGTAAATGCTGGCAGAATCCCTGACTGCAATAAGCACTGCCAAGTACAAAACCAGACACTGATGCTGTAGCTTGTCTTGTTTCCAGAGCAAAAATCTGGTGAGAGGGAAAACTGTGTGTTTAGGGACCCATAGGATCCCTGACTGCATTCGTGGCTGTAAATTAAGAATGTTTTCTTGAACAGCACTGGAACACCTCTCAGCTCCTCACTAATGCTTCAACCCTGGTGAAGACAGCAAGCCTTCTCAGAAAGCTTTGGAAAAACTCCATGCTCTTTCTTTCACATCCCTTTACCTGGGGTGTCCGGCAGGTGCCAGTGTGGTCTCTCTGTTAGCCTCTAGGTAACCATCCCGAGACAGGCAGCCTCCCTCCTGGTTGTTCTCCCAGAGCTTCCCTGTAACAACTGAGTTTAAGAAGCAGAAAACATGCATTCGGAGTTTCTCATTCTTACTTATCAAGCTTACAGGCTTAAATTCTCTTCAAGCCTTGTGTTTAGCACTCTCTTCATCCCAATAATTGCATACCAAATAAAAGTTTGAACAACTGCAGTAATACAAAATATTTTTAAACACCTTGGTGTGAATGTAAAATTCCATTGCTGTCAGCTGCAAGTAACACAGAGAAAAGAAGAAATAAGGAGTTCTTTTAAAGCAGTATGCACAGGGGTCTGGGATGACTTGGAGCAGAGCCAAGTTGCTTTTGTCTTGGTGCAGTTCAGAAGATACAGCTTACAGTATATTTATACGGTCTGCTGATCTTTGCAGAATGAATAATAGTACAGTAACACTTTATAATAGTAAAGTTTCCATGTCTGCTCCAGTTCAGTTAAGCTTTAGTTTTGGCAGATAATTGTTTTTGTTCTTTGACTGTGCCTGTTACTAAATTGAAAAACAGCAGAAGCAGAAAGCCTAAACAGGGCCCATAGGTTAAGTCTAAACAAATATTCTGGCTTTTCTTGCCAAGAAGTTGGAAACAGTGAATTTAGGAAAAAATAGCATTGAATTTGAATACCCAAGCTTAAGAATGTATGGTTTTATTTTTGCTTTAGGGTGTGTACCCCTTGGGTCTTTTAAGAAAACTTGGCTTTTACAGCAAGTCAGATACCAAAAGGTGGATGACTTATCTGGAAAATGTGGTCAGAATAAATGATGTACCACTCTGCTTACAGTACTTTGATGCAGAAATGGTCTTAACCTAATATAAACAGACCATCAGTGGACATGTTTAACTTTTTTGAAGTACTCTTAATTTACAGCATAAGTTCTGGAGCAGTTATCAAGACATTTTAAAGATTCCTGCTCTGTTACCCACCAGAGTAGCACTGATGAAGGTGCATGGCTTCTGGCATCCTCTGAAAATGTGAAATAGTAAGCCTCATGTACCAGATTAGAACTATTTATTCTGTTGGATGTAGATAAACATCATTTCGTCTTCAGAAGGGTGTGATTCAGAAGCTAAAATCTGTAGATTAATTTCAGTTGGTAATGAGAAGGAACACATACTCAACCTTCACTGTGTTCAGATATTTTTAAAAAGTTTTTATGTATGTGGTGTGAGAAGGTTTGTTTCTGTGATTTATGAACTGTTTGGATATTGTTCAGGGTGTGTTTATAATACAGCTAGAGCACTGGGCTTCAATTTACACGTTTTTAATCCATAGGTCAGATGTATCAACAGTACCAACAGCCTGGTTATCCTGCTCAGCAGCCACAGGCTCAGCCTCAGCAACAGTACGGCATGCAGTACCCAGGTAAGCAGCTTGCTCAAATGGCGGTTGAGCTGTGGGACCTCTTCTGCTGCGCCTGACCCCATGAGCTTTGGTTCCTGATCCCGTGGGGCCCGTTAGGGCACTGAGCGGCCCAAGTGCCTGTGGTTCTGATGGGAAGTGGCACAATGCAAAAATTACCAGTAAGAGAACGCTGAAGGGCTCTATATTTTTAATACATAGTTGGAGTTTTGGTATCTCAATCCTACTTGATGGTGACCGAAAGCAGACTTCTTAATTAATCGCCAGGATGCACGGTTAGAAAGGTAGGCAAAATGAATTGCCTGAAGTATGAGCAGTCTTCAGTATTAACTTCTGCAGTCTTGGGATTCTAGCGAGTACGTGACTAAAACATCCCAGTTTAGCTTTCTTAAATATCAGAGGTGTATAAAGATGGCCCCTATCTCTTTCATCCAGAATGATCTCCAGGTACAAAATGTAGTGGTGTGAACACTGATGATAGCTGTCACTTAGTAAACCCTTAGTTATTATAAATACTGTAATTTCAGAGAAACTTTAAAGTGATTTTTTTTTTTTAGCTGGTGATTTTGCTCATAACCTCAAGGAACGGTGCCAGGGGACTTTTAGCAGAAGAACGTTTTAGTGCGCTAGCGCTTTATGTGCAAATGTGAAAAGCTGGCTTTTGCCTGTACCCAAATGAAACTTGACTTCAGAACTTTCACTTATTTACTTCAGAAGCAGCTGGTGCCTAATAATGTGTAGTCTATGCTGGGAATCATCATCCAGCTGAAGTACGGGGATGAATCTGTAACAGCAGATTCTGTAATAAATTGCAAGTTGCTTAATACTTTTAGAAAATGATACAGAGTATTTACCATTCCTTGTTTTAAACAATCTTCCTTAAACTAAACAAAAGACTCCCATACCATTAGGGGACTCAGAATACAGCCTGTATGGCCTTAGTTTCGATGTGCAATATATATACAGTGAGAGTGCATCAATTTTACATAGCTGGGAACACTTCTGGAGCTTATGAAGAAATTCCATGTTTAGGTGGGATAAGAACACAAGACTAAGTTGGAACTGAAGGTTTGTGCCTTGGCCCTTGTTTCCGCACACCGTGTGAAGTTGATTTGAGTCTCTCAATGGTATCTTGTTCTCTGCAGAGTTCTTACCCCCCCATTTGTAATTAGGAAGCAGTGACAGTCTCATTTCGGAAGAAGTAACAAGCCTGTTGGGAGTAGAAGGGTTTATCTGACTTTCTTTAGGCTTTAAAAACTGGGGCGGGGTGAGTTTCCAATAGCTTTCTAGTCATATCCTGCCATCATCTAATCCATTATTTTACTGGCGAAGTTCCTGCGAACGTGGTAGTGCAGTGTGAGTTCTGTGTTCTAATCAATGTCAAGTAAGAATGAAACGCCACCAAAACTGATCTGGGGCTCCTCTGTTTCTCCTAACTTGTTTTGCAATCACTTAACCTAATCTTTCAGAAACAGCCCTTTTTTTTTTTTAATTATTATTGAGGACTTAGTGACAGCAGCCTTTTAAGATCTTGCCTCCCAGGATTTTGTTTTGTTTGTTTTCCTGCTGTCCCCATGAGTGTTATCTCTGTTCAAACCCATGTACCCCAAGAGCAGGATCCATTCCTG